TAAAGGATATGTAAAAGGATATATTGATTCTGCGCCACAAGTATAACAATCATAACTTGCTGGAAAAAATTTCATTGTCATTTAAAAAACATACAAATGCATACAATCGCTATGTTTTTACTAACCAGTTTGCATTGCTGAATTTTGTTCTTTGGCATTCCTAAGCACTTGTTCTTGCAGTTGCTTATCTACAAATATTGTAGGGAAATATAAGAAATTAATATAATTCCAGTAAATTTTAAAGTGCTCATTCTAGAAAAGTTTCTTACCAAACTTTATACAGAATGGTGAATCCTCTGGTAGAATTGGTTCTGGTAATGGGACATCTAGCTTTCCATAACCTTCAGCTTTCCATTGACAAGAAATAAGATGATCATTGAGAGAGGCTTCTGTTAACCGGTGGGACGGATCATATGGACATGTGAAATATTCTTTGTCCTACATAAAAGCAATAGTTAAAAGTAATATAACCAAGAAAACGATATTCAGATTACTTACCACGTCCGTTACACTCTCCACAGTCCAACCTAACGTTCCAACGATATTGGCAATTTCTTCGTTAACTGTATCAGTAAAGTTCTTCAGTTTCTCTAATTGTTGCTTACGAGAGTCATTTATATTCTTTAACATATTCATTTCAATTTCTGTCTCCCATAGGAATTTAAATGAACAATCAAATTATCGTATAAAATTAGGACTGTCGGAAGATAATTATTTAGTTTAATATTTTTTTTTGCTAATCTTCACTAAATAATAAACTTTCATGTGCCTTCAACCCGTCCTTTCAAATTGTATGGCACAAAGGTAAATTTTGATAATTATGTTGAATTAAGGTTAGAACGCTTATCTCGTACGCAACATAAAGAAAGATACACACATTTATCGTTTGTTATCGATCGGATAGAGACATCTATTGGTGACTAAATGAATTAATATGCTTTAAATTTTGATTGGTCACATCGCGATTTTAGAATGGCTGCGTTCAGCAGAACACAACAGCTTTGCAAAACACCGTTTTATGATTTTTTGCTGAAATAAGATCATTGATCTAAAAGCATAACCCAATCAATGTGAAGAAAACTTCCAACAGTTACAAAATAAACGTTATGCTGAACGCAACCTTAGGCTCATTTCGAGCATTAAAACAGGTCACGTGATCAAAATTGACGAATACCAAGCATCAATTTCGATCACGTGACTTGTTTTGACGCTGAAAATGAGCGTCAAGCGTCAGCATGAAAAAGCAGTCTAGAGTGAGTGTGATCATTGAAGTGAACTGCATGCTGCACGCGCCAATTTGACATAAAAATCTTGAGAGATCGCTTGAGTGAGACGGACGTGTTTCGTCTCGTCTCGAGTATCATATCATTTTTGGGAAAGCATTGCCGGCTTTAACTATGCGTTAGCACGACTGGCCAGTTTACCTCGTCAACGAGGACCAGGGCCATTAAATTTCGAAGAAGAAGAGAAGCCAATTTGACATTTCAAAATATCCCGCTTCTCTTATAAATTAATTTTTAAATGTATCCATCCGAATCTATGTAGAAAATATCAAATAAGATGCAAATGATTACATCTTATTAAGAGTATGGTCAGCGCGATGTTGCAAACGCTTTGAAGCGTTTTTTACTGGTTAGTTTGTAAAATTTTTTCTTTTACTTGATCCATCAAATGTTTTAAAGCATTTGTAGTGAGACTTTGATTACAGCCTAACACCTGTATAGTCAGACCTTGTACTTAAGGCTTCCTTAAATTTATCTTTAGATGCTTAACAACTAATGAAATAATTCGTAGAGTATCTAAAGATAAATTTAAGGAAGCCTTAAATATAAGGCCTGATTTTGAATATAAGTATAAGAAACACGTAGGAAGCATGTTCGATTGTTACTTGTATTTCAAAGTATTCTTGATTTCGAGATCGCGCGCGCAGATCGGCCGGGCAGCCGCCATGACAGTTTCATCTTTGATCGAAGTTGTATCGGTTCTGGATCGTTCCGTAAGTAATCGCGAATTTCATCCGTCAAGAATGCACGATGTGCACGAATTTCTGTCGGGAATGTTGGGGGATGTCGACTAAAGCAACGGATTATCGTCAGAAGTTATTGGTTAATCCGCGTTAACACGGACTCTCGTGATTAAAGTTTTGTCGATTGTTCAACATTACGCTGTGCTTTATAAGAATTGTGATCAACGTATAGTTTCAGTAAGCACGGATTCCGACGGTATTTTAGATTGCGAAAATCACCCTTATGTTCTATTCTTCCGAGAGATTTGAAGCGAGATATGATTTTTCTTTGAATGTAATTTGTTGAACAATTAAGTCGTAATAATGATATATCACGTATGCCTGTTGCACCTAAATGGAAAATTTATTGTTGAATATATAATATCATAGAATAATGTGCATTAATGTATTATATGATATAATTATCAGTAGTATAAATGTGCAACAGTTCCGTCAAATGAATTTTGTGCGATTGTAGTATCATTGCATTGAATCAGATTTACTGAATTTTATTGAAAATTTCTTTGAATAGTACAAACGAAATATTTACTATTAATGTAAATATATATTTATTTAATTTAAGTATAATTTTTTATTTTAAATATTTATTTACTGTAAGTAAAGTTTCGTTAGTAGTATTTAAAATAATAACCAAATAAATTTAATAAAATTTAGTAAATTTTTTCGCTGTGGATACAATATCTTATGTCATTAGAACTTTGTTTAAAAATATCATTGAAGTGTAAATATTATTTTATAAATATTTGACATTTGGTGAACAAGGATAAAATAAAAGGAGCAAGTAGTGTTTCTGAATATAGATTGGTATTCATAATTCGTTTTTACTCCTAAACTGTCTTAAGTAATTTCATAATATGCTAATGTAGTTTTGTATCGGTTTTCATAAAACGATATTCATAGAGTGATATTCATGGAACGATATTTCGTAGAGTTGGCTTTTACATTTTGAAATCATCTTAAGTAGGGTCTTCAGATGAATGTCATCATGAATTTAGAGAAAATCATTAGCATCTTAAGACATTCAAGGTGATAAGAACCGATTATGAATATCACTATGTGATTGGCTTATGCCATCTGAAGACTGTACTTACGATAGTTTTAAATATAAGAACTAATTTTAAATATCAGCCTAGTACAAACATATAACAGTTCTGTCAAGAGACACTCGTGCAATCGTAGTATTATTGTGAACACAATATATGATATTAGTAAACAAATAACAATTCCATCATGAATTGTTACCGTGACTACAGTATTATTTTCATAGGTTTTTGATAGATTAATTATTTGCATAAATTAATTAAAAGTATGTAGAATTTATATAGCTCAAATATAAGCAATAATTTATATATATGTAATTGATACTATTTATGCCTGTAGTAATTGATACTATTTGTGTATATAATAATTAGCAGATCATTTAATACAATCATTTTAATTCACGATTATCAGTTAGTTGCCTTATAGAAACGCAAAATCATTGTAGTTAATTGTTAAAGTTGCCATTTTTATTTCTAAATTATATACATAAATTAAAATTTATGGTATTTTAAATATATATTTATTGCGGCATGTGATTGCCATTACTTGTACGATTACTACTGATAGTTATTCAGTAAATTAAAAGCGAAATTGTAGTAATATGATTTCATTTAATGTAATATGATTTCATACCTAAATATATAAACTTTTCTTTTTATATTCTTAATATACTTAACAACTTTTTTGCATTTTTTGAATATTTTTAAAACTTAAAAATTTTTATTTGCATTAAAAATGTAAAAAGAGATAAACTTTTGAAATAAAATGGAATACGAATTTCTCAACGGTATACAACGCAAGATATTGGCAGTTAATATTTTATATTTTAATCACATAACAATTAAATAAATAGACATTTCGACCTTAAATTAGTCATCTTCAGTATTACAAAAATCCTTCATCAAATTTACGCACATGAATACATTCTCAAAAGAGAAGTTAGTTAACTATACTTTTAAAGTTCTCTTTAGAACATATAACTCGATGTTAACGTGCATTCTTTTGGATTAATTTTATAACGCGAGATATAAAACTCTTGTTACGTTGTTGTGAGAACGTATTCGTTTTTTATTTAATTGTTATGTGATTAAAATATAAAATATTAGCTGCCAACATTCTGCGTTGTATGCCGTTGAGAAATTTGTTGTGTTTAAAAATTTTATCACGTATCGACTTTTATTGTTTAAAATGGAATATATGATAATTGGTTATAGATAAATTGTTGTAGTTAATGCCATAGTCAAAACAATTAGAAGTTATTTCTTATATTATATATCTTTTATCGCATTTGAATTAAGTTTTTTGTTAATGGAAGTTAATTTGCGTTAAAATAAATACGTAATATCTAATATATCAAGAAAAGTTGAATGATAGGCTATCTATTGGATAAACGCAGCTAGCAGAAGCAAATTTTGAAGAAGTGCAATTTGGAGGCCTTTACAATATTGAGATCTTGCCTATTGTGTTGAATGAAATATATCTTGCATCAGGTGTTCGTGATATGTTATTAATAATATTAATTATAATTTGTGCACGGAAGTACGTGTCGCAGAATATACAGAGAATTTGATCTTGCATTTCGCATGTCACTACGTAGCAATATCGTGACGTAGATATGTGATTTTAGTATTTTTTTCGAAAATGAAATGTACGGATCAAGTTTCGGAATTCGTTTAATGGTAGCGTAATTAAGTGCTCGTTTCTGGAATTGATTGTTTCCTCGATGGAGCTGTGCGGATCATTCCTGAGGTGGAATTTGCAACGGATGGAGTAAATTGCGGTACCATTGCTGTGAGTTATTCATTAAGATTAGTTATTCATTATATTATATATATATATA